CTGATCTGTCAGGGAAGCCATATAGATATATACATATATATCTATATAGATATAGATATATAGATATATAAAATATTCTTTTCCATTATGGTTTATCACAGGATATTGAATATCATTCCCTGTGCTATACTGTAGGACCTTGTTGGTTACTTATCCTGTAACAGTTTGCATTGGATAATCCCAAACTCCCAATCCTTGCCTTCTCCACTCTCTTCCCCCTTGGCAACTGAAAGTCTGTTCTGTATGTTATGAATATGGTTTCTTGAACAAAGTAAGAGCCACTGCAAATTTGAAGAAGCTGAAGTTTGTTTTATATGTCTGTCACTGACATTCAAAATATTTATATTTTAAATAATTTAGGTACCACTTTAAGCTAGTTTTCTTTTCCTTGTGTCTTAAAGGATACAAGGTTATCTAATGAACATTTTACTGTACTCATCAGACAAGTAGTTATTTACTCAATGCACCTTTCTTATATGAGTGTACAGTCCAGGGAGGGCAGGACAAATACATCCTTGAGGCTCAGTACAGTCCTAGGGACATGCATGCTTAATCACTCTGTCATGTCTGACTCTTTACGACCCCATGGACTGTAGCTTGTCAGCTTCCTCAGTCCATGGAATTCTCCTAGCAAGAGTACTGGAGTGGGTTGCCATTTCCTTCTCCAGTGGATATTCCCAACCCAGGGATTGAACCCTTGTCTCCTGTGTCTCCTGCATTGCAGGCGGATTCTTAACATGCTGAGCCTTGGGATATAGTAGGTAATACATAAATGTCTGTTGACAGATTGGCTGACTTCCTGGCTTGATAAATATTGGTAAGATAGTATTCATAATTGAAGAAAATTGCTCATTTTCTAGGATAAAATTTCTGCCTCTTTAATGATAATGTAACTTAGTTCTTATTTGTTTTAATTTGTCAGTTAGTTAGATACTTTGACTTATATCAATGGCTGTTTTCAGATTACTGTTCCTGAATCCATTCAAAATAATTAAATATTGAGTTGTGGAAACAGCGATTTGTAAGAATTTAAAGTTACTCTCTAACACATAGTTTCAAAATACCTGTAGTCATTCTGTGTGCATGCTCAGTTGCTCAGTCGTGTCTGACTCTGCGACCCCATGAACTTTAGCCCGCCAGGCTCCTCTGTCCATGCTCTTTTACAGGCAAGAATGCTGGAGTGGGCTGCCATTTCCTACTCCAGCAGTCATTGTGTAGTTTGTTCTTGTAAAAGTATCTTAATAAACTTAAGTCATGAATTTTTACACAGCAGTGTAATTCTACATAAAGTTGTAGAATTCATTCAATGAATTGAATCCAGTTCACTCTATTAAGACATATTTGTGAGCAAGGGAAAAGATTTTTTATAATTTTTTAAAACTGGATGTATGCGTATTATACACTGAATACTTAGAATTATTGTTAAGAGTCACTAAAGAAAAAATACTCCATGTTTAACTGCTGTATTTTTTTATTGTCTCAAAAGTTGGCTATAGTCTTCCCATTTTTATTAGATTAATTTCAATTTGGAAATGCTTGATCAGATGATATTTTATTGACTAGTAGTGACTCATGGTTCTCATTTAAATGTTTTATGTTCATTCACATAATAAACTGACTTAACTTAGAGAAGTGGTGAAAGTGAAAGCTTTCAAAAAATTCAGAATAGCATCTATTTAACGTGTCTAATATTTTCCAAATAGAAAGAACAAACTGCATCATATGACACCAGACTTGACCACAGAATTAGTCTCTTAATATTGGTGGGGGAAATATTTTAAACTATCATCAAGAAAATAGTATACTGAGTTCCCCTAAGTATGAAGAAAATTTGGCATAGTAAGGCTATCTGTTATGTACTTGAATGTGTCACCAATAAGTGTGATTTCTGATGTAGAGAACTACTAATGCTTCACATTGTTGCCAAACATAATATGAAGAACCACTTACTCAGACACCTGATCTTTAGAATGCAGCATCGTTTGTAACAATTTTAACGCTACCTAAGTACACTTTGATGAGACAGCATTTAATAAAATGCTCATTAATTTCATCATTAGCAAGGGTATGCTAAGAAGTAAGCCAGTTTCTTATGTCACGCCCAATTAGCATCCCATGCTAGTAATCCCATTAGTATTGTTGAATTCACTAATGGAAAAACTAATGGGCATGCTACCAGGGCACATTAATTGGGCACGACACCAGTTCTGGTTTTAATTATTAAACTACAATAATGAAATGTGTGTTTGTAAAATATTAAAATGTTGAAATTGGGTTGAAGAAAATAAAAGAATATGTAGAGAGAAAGAGTTATATGGAAAGTCAACTTATAAAGATTTGAGAACTTATCAAAATGGTCATATATCTAGCTGATTGAGTTGCCTATAAACGTTAGGATATTGTCCATGAGAGAAGCAAATCCTCCCCTACTCATGGGAAATTAAAACCTCTTTTTTGGTAATATGAAATTCTGTATGTCATACATGTTGTCATGCTCTGTATGAGGCCTGACAGGAGCCAATTAAATGCATAGAATGGACAGGGTATGTTGCTGAAGCTATTTTAGAGAAATATAAACAAATGTTTTATTGACAATGGTGTGATTAATACTGCACTTTTTGTGATATTAAACCATCACCATATTACATCAGGTAATTGTCAGTTTTATCATTTTTGAAAACCAGTATAGCAAAATAATTAGAATTTGATGAAACATTCCAAGTAATTTAAACATGTATTTTGTAATATTTTATCCAATCTTTTTTTTGGTTTTGTTTTGTTTTCAAAATTTTGTATTGATTGAAGTTAATTATTTCTAAGGGCCTTATCTGGTGGTTCCGCTGGTAAAAATCCTGCCTGCCAATGCAGGAGGCACAAGAGACACAGGTTCGTTCCCTGGTTTGGGAAGATCCCCTGGAGAAGGAAATGGTAACCCACTCTGGCATTCTTGCTTGGGAAATTCTATGGACAGAGAAGCCTGGCAGACTACAGTCCCATGGGGTTGCAAAGAGTTGGACATGACCGAGGACACTCACACAATTTTTGCTAAGGAGATCTACTTTATTAAAAAGCAAGCAAAACTTGTTTTCCTTTAGAAGATTTAGAGTAATTTTCTGTTTCATTTTCTTTAATCACAGTAGTTGTAAATGATGATGGAAACAAAGTTGAAATATCTTTTACTTAGTCTTATATGTTCACTAACATTAAAAAATATACCATTGTGCTAACCATGATATACATGGCTCCAAACTGTTAAGATGAAAGGGATCTCTTCTTCTCTTTATTTTCTTACTCTCACTTCCTCTGAGCTAATCTCTATTCTTAATACCTACCTGCCATTTCCTGATTTTATCCACTTAGGAACTCATTTTTAACTTTGATACTATTACCTTAATCAAAAGTACAAATGCTCCATTTTAGACTACAAATCACTGAGTACTAAGTTTAACCATAATACTTATGTTAAAGGTATTAATAACTAATTTTTTAATTTAAACTTTTTATTTTATATTGGAGTATAGCCAATTTACAATGTTGTGATAGTTTTGGGTAGATAGGAAAGGGACTTAGCCATACATACACATCTGTCTATCCTCCTCCAAACTTCCCTCACCCCACACTGCCACCTAACTGAGCAGAGTTCCACATGCTATACAGTAGGTCCTTGTTGGTTATCGTTTTTAAATACAGCAGTGTGTGCATACTTGTCCCAAGCTCCCTAAGTATCCCTTTCCCTCATCCTTCCCCCCTGGCAACAATAAGTTCATTCTCTAAGTCTGTGAGTCTGTTTTGTAAATAAGCTCATTGGTATCATTTCTTCTTAGATTCTACACATGAGGGATATTGTACGATATTTTTCTTTCTTCATCTGACTTTCTTCACTCAATATGATAATCTTTAGTAACTAATTTTTAATGTGAATCTAATTCCTTCTTGGTATTCATAGTGTAGTGAAGGTAAAAGAAACTAACTTGCCACACATTTTACTATCTTTAGAGCAGAATCATTTGAATGGTACTTTATTAGTTTCAAAGTCTTGTCTTTTTTATATTTCTGGCCCCAAATTTAAAATATTTGAATAGAAAATTCATTACCTTTTGTTTGAGTTTAGTTACTTATATTTGAGTATAGTTACTCAAAATCCAATTGTACTTATAAGAGATTTTCATTCTGAAGAAAAGTTCTTTTCAGATTTGAGCCTCATGGTGATGCAGAAGTACATCAGAGAAATGCCAGAATGATGTATCAACTTTGACTTTGAGTTCTGTTTGAAATGTGTACATGCTTGCCTCAGGATTGTGTTGAAATTTGTAAATTGGTTTCTAACAAATATACAATATATGTATGAGTAACATGTATATAAAGACGCTTCCTCCTTGGAAGAAAAGCTGTGACCAACCTAGACAGCATGTTAAAAAGCAGAGATGTTACTTTGCCAACAAAGGTCCATCTAGTCAGAGCTATGGTTTTTCCAGTAGTCATGTACAGTTGTGAGAGTTGGATCATTAAGAAAGCTGAGTGCTGAAGAATTGATGCTTTTTTCTTTTTTTTTTTAATTTTAATTTTAATTTTTTTGAATTGATGCTTTTGAACTGTGATGTTGGAGAAGACTCTGGAGAGTCCCTTGGGCTGCAAGGAGATCAAACCAGTCCATCTTAAAGGAAATCAGTCCTGAATATTCATCAGAAAGACTGATGCTGAAGGTTAAATTCCAGTACTTTGGCCACCTGATGCAAAGAACTTACTCATTAGAAAAGACCCTGATGCTGGGAAAGATTGAAGGCAGGAGGAGAAGGGGGCGACAGAGGATGAGATGGTTGGATGGCATCACCAACTCGATTGACATGAGGTTGAGCAAGCTCAGGGAATTGGTGATGGACAGGGAAGCCTGGTGTGCTGCAGTCCATGGGGTTGCAAAGAGTCAGACATGACTGAGTGAATGAATTGACTGAAAATGTATATTTACTCACTGATTTTTTTCACTCATTCATTCCCTTAAGGGGTCTTCAGTGGAAGTTACCACAACTAATGATGATGGCAAACAATATAGTGATGGCAAATGGCATGAGGTAATTGCTATTAGGCATCAAGGTTTTGGCCAAATCACTCTTGATGGGCAGTTCACAGGTAAGATCTTCCTTGACAAATATAAATGCCTGTATTGATATGCTGATGTTGCCATACTCCTCTGTGTTATTATTTCTTCATCTCTTTTTTCACCTGTTTATCCCTTCTCTATCTAAATTGCTATTGATTTTGTTTTTGGGATGTTCATAAAATGATGAAGTCTTGGCAACTATTTTCTCTTCTTTGCAGGGTTCATTAAAGAAAAAATAAGAGCAAAGTCATCAGTATAAAATTTGTGTCATTTTCAAGTCTTTACAATTTGCAAAGGCTCTTACTTAGTTTTGCTTTACTTTTACTTGCAAAGAGAGAAGCCATTGGAGAATTTTGAAAGGAGGATGACATGATATGACTTCTTTAAAATTAACACTCCGGGTACTCTTTGGGGGATAAATTTTAAGGGGAACAAGGATGGAAGTACGGACCTAAGACAAACAGATATTTCTCCAGCAAAGATGGGTTTATTCAGAATCAGCAAAGAATTTCAGTTCAGAGTCTGCAATCTTTTTTTTTACATGTTTTTTAATTTATTTTTTTATTGAAGGATAATTGCTTTACAGAGTTTTGTTGTTTTCTATCAAACCTCAACATGAATCAGCCATAGGTATACATATATCCCCTCCCTTTTGAACCTCCCTCCCACCTCCCCACCCCACCCCTCTAGATTGATACAGAGCCTCTGTTTGAGTTTCCTGAGTCATACAGCAAATTCCCGTTGGCTATCTCTTTTACAGATGGTAATGTAAGTTTCCATGTTACTCTTTCCATACATCTCACCCTCTGCTCCCTTCTCCCCATGTCCATACATCCATTCTCTATGTCTGTTTTTCCATTGCTGCCCTGTAAATAAATTCTTCACTACCATCTTTCTATATTCCATATATATGTGTTAAAATATGATATTTATCTTTCTCTTTCTGCCTCACTTCACTCGGTAAAATAGGTTCCAGGTTCATCCACCTCATCAGAACTGACTCAACCGTGTTCCTTTTTTGGCTGAGTAATATTCCATTGTGTGTATGTACCACAACTTCTTTATCCATTCATCTGTCGATGGGCATCTAGGTTGCAATCTTGGTGCCATATGTAGCCTCCATACAGCAATGGAAGATAAACTCGTTTACAGAGTGGAAAAGGAAGTTTGAAGGGCTGTAGTAAACAAACATGGTCTTTTCATTGGCCGAGCATTGCCAAGAAAGAGGAGTCTTCTTCCTGTTAGACTCGTCACGTGAGAGATCCTCTTTCTGGCCTTCCCGATCGATTTAATTGAGGTTTCATTTTGTTATTTTTTTATATTTCCCCTCCCTTGATCAAGATTTCTCTTTCAGAGTACCACTGATCAAGAGTCAGCTTTTCTAGTTTCAATGGCTTTTTCCCCCTCGACTTCAGGAACTACCTTTCCTGGGTATGGTGTCTCACATCAGAGGGGAATAGCACAGATTAGAAAACTACTGAGCTTGTATTTGAGTAGCAAGGGGAGGTAGGAGGGCGAACTCTCAGACAGTTTGTATCTACAGTCCTTGTTCTTTATTATCAAGATCATGAACACTGGAGACAATGTGAAGCAGTATGTCATCACCAATGTTTAGCAATAAGTTTCCAACAGACCTGGTCCAACCATCTTCAGGAAGTTGCCTCATCAGATGTCATCTGCTTCGATTATAGGAAATAATTACTTTATTTTTATTTTTTATTTTTTTATTTTTCCATTTATTTTTATTAGTTGGAGGCTAATTACTTTACAACATTGCAGTGGTTTTTGTCATACATTGAAATGAATTAGCCATGGATTTACATGTATTCCCCATCCCAGTCCCCCCTCCCACCTCCCTCTCCACCTGATCCCTCTGGGTCTTCCCAGTGCACCAGGCCCAAGCACTTGTCTCATGCATCCAACCTGGGCTGGTGATCTTTTTCACCCTAGATAATATACATGTTTTGATGTTGTTCTCTTGAAACATCCCATCCTTGCCTTCTCCCAGAGTCCACAAGTCTGTTCTATACATCTGGGTCTCTTTTTCTGTTTGGCATATAGGGTTATCATTACCATCTTTCTAAATTCCATATATATGTGTTAGTATACTGTAATGGTCTTTATCTTTCTGGCTTACTTCACTCTGTATAATGGGCTCCAGTTTCATCCATCTCATTAGAACTGATTCAAATGAATTCTTTTTAATGGCTGAGTAATATTCCATGGTGTATATGTACCACAGCTTCCTCATCCATTCGTCTGCTGATGGACATCTAGGTTCCTTCCATGTCCTGGCTATTATAAACAGTGCTGCGATGAACATTGGGGTGCATGTGTCTCTTTCAGATCTGATTTCCTCGGTGTGTATGCCCAGAAGTGGGATTGCTGGGTCATATGGCAGTTCTATGGAAATAATTACTTTAATATCACCAGATTATTTGAGCTTCCTTCAGAATTTGGAGCTTTCTTTAGGTGTGTCACCTGAGTCCAGGAATCTATCCTTGGACTTTCGTGGCACAAGGCTTGGTTAGCAATACCTGATGAGGGCTTCTCTGGTGAAGTTGAAGAAAGTTCTTCTGGAGGTATCTTTTCCAGTAGATAAAGTCTTCAGGTTGGAAGGTCTTCATCCCTTGAGAGCACAGTATAAAAAGATTGCTCTACCAAAACATGGTTATTTTTAATAGGAGAAACTTGGCCTTTGCATTATTGGAATATCTCTCCTTTTTCAGTTGAAGGCCAAAAAAAGCAGGAACCAAATGTGTTGGGAGTTCTGCAACTGTTTCAAAGGGTGAGAATTTTTGAGTTCCAAAAGGTGTGGATCTGAGATTTAGAGAGACCAATAGCAATGCTTTGGGCCAAGGTGCTTGTAGACCTCTACAAATTTTGCCAGTTGAGTGTTAATAATGCCATTACTGTGATCAGCTGAACTGCAGGATTGACAGTGGTAAGCACAGTTAAAGTGTTGTAAAACTGCCAAACAGCACAGACTTGTTGAAGTACTTGGCTAGTAAAATAGGTTCGTCAATCACTGCTAAGTGTGTCTAGATCTAAGTGTAGCCCTTGTTCTGATATCAGTTGCCCTAAATATCAAACCTGGTTTTGGGCAAACTGCAATATTTCTTTGGCGACCTTATGTCCCTTCAAGGCAAACAGCTTTAGTAAATGGTTGCTGTCTTCCTGTGAGCAGGCTTGAGAAGATCAAAGAGGCAAATCATTCACACATGCAACAAAGTAGACCTATAGGGAACTTTATATCATCTAGATCAACCTTTAGGTTTTACAAGAAATAAGAAGGACTCAGTAAAACCCTGAAGCATTACTGTCTAGGTGAATTGTTTTTCTTCCCAAGTAGAGGTAAAAAGATGCTGGCTAGTTCATCAAGTGGAATACTGAAGAATTCACTGAATAAATCAATTGCAGTAAAGAATTTGCTTCCAGTAGGAATAGATGTTAGAACATCTGAAGGTTAGGAACATCAGGGTGTCAGGGAGTAACAATGCTGAGGTCCTGGACAAACCTCCACTCTGCCCTTAGGTTTTCTCACAGATGAAATAGCACCATTACAGGAACTAGTATGTAGATAATAAAGCCTTGAGTCTTGTAATCTTCTACTATAGACTTTATGCCTTGAAGGGCTTCTATACATTTAGGGTATTGATTAATTCTGGGAAGAGATTTTGAGGGATCTACTCGAATCTAGATGGGAGGGGGCATGCTGTAAATTTTGCCAACGTCAGTTGGAGATTTTGCCCATAAGGATGATGGAGACTGATTCAATAGGGACAAATGATCAGTGTTTCCAAAACCATCTCTAGAACTGTCAAAGATAGAACAAATAAAAGATGTGAAAGGGTTATTTAATTCACCTGGCTGTTTATTTTGATGACTACTCTGAAATTCAAGAATTATTTCTCCCTTTTGGAAGATTAGCAATAGTAATCGTCCCTAATAAATGGGTAGGGACAGAGGAACTAAGGAGAAAAAGGGCCTAAAGGAAAGGGAATAGGTCCCAGAGACAAGAACCTCTTGAGATTTGTTGGAGATCCTCACTATTTGAACTGTTTTAGGACTCAGAGGAAGAGGGTTCTTTATAGTCGTGAGGTAATTATAGCTCAGAGTATATGACGTGTCAGGACTAGAAGAGATTCAACCCCAATCTTAAGAAACATTTCCCCAAGCTGATTAAGATGGAGGATTGGGAGGAGCCCCTGTAGTTCCTATAGCCCGATGTAGGCCATTGGTGAGTAGTGGGAGGAGGCTGGAAACATTTTTATAAAATTTTGTTAGAGATAACTGCACTCATTGGTTATGTATTGTCTATGACTGCTTGAGGCTGAATGGTCTACAGACTAAAACACATACAACCTGGCTCTTTCCAGATGAGTTTTGCTAAACCCTAATGTACAGCATGACTGTGAGTTTGGAACTTGAGCAACTGGAAGAATGTAACTGGCATAACTAGGGTGGGCAAGCTAGTTGGAGAAGCAGATTCAGAGAGAAATGTCCAGAGTTTGGTTTGAACATGTTAAGTGTTAGGTACCTATGAGGCATCCAAGTGGAAATATCATGCCAAGTCCTGGATCCCAGTACGTTTAGAGAGGAGTTCCAGATTAGAGATAAAAATGGGGAGTTACCAGCTCAGGATGTATTTAAAGTCACAGTCCCAGATATAAGTAGGGATAATTAGAGTGGTTTGGGCTCTGAAAAAAAAATGCCATTCTCACAAAGAATGATGGAGTTAGTTAGGAATTTCTAACTTTTCTAAATTTCTAACATTTCTCTCTGAATCTGCTTCTCCAAGTAGCTTGCCCACCCTAGTTATGCCAGTTACATTCTTCCAGTTGCTCAAGTCCCAAACTCACAGTCATGCTCTACATTCAGTTCAGTTCAGCCACTTAGTCGTGTCCAACTCTTTGTGACCCCACGAATTGCAGCACACCAGGCCTCCCTGTCCATCACCAACTCCCAGAGTTTACTCAAATTCATGTCTATCAAGTTGGTGATGCCATCCAGCGATCTCATCCTCTGTCGTCCCCTTCTCCTCCTGCCCCTAATTCCTCCCAGCATCAGCATCTTTTCCAATGAGTCAACTCTTCACATGAGGTGGCCAAAGTATTGGAGTTTCAGCTTCAGCATCAGTCCCTCCAATGAACACCCAGAACCGATCTCCTTCAGGATGGACTGGTTGGATCTCCTTGCAGTCCAAGGGACTCTCAAGAGTCTTCTCCAACACTGTAGTTCAAAAGCATCAATCTTTTGGCGCTCAGCTTTCTTCACAGTCCAACTCTCACGTCCATACATGACCATTGGAAAAACCATAGCTCTACATTAGGGCTTAGCAAAACTCTTCTGGAAAGACCAGGTAGTATGTATTTTAACAGGAGATTTGCATTGGTATGCAGCACACAGAGGGACCCAGGCCCTTTCAGAATTCTCACAGGTGCCTAGCTCTCTCTTCATCCTTGTAGAGGGCTTACGGTGTTTATGCAGGTGGTAAGCAGATCTGGGAACAGAGGAGGCCTGGGTTATTCTAACATCAAGATGTTGGGCTGATGATTAAGAACCAGTGAAGAAAAGTAACCAGTAGCAAAGAACCAAGAGGGAGGTGCATCCAGAAGCAGAGGGAAGGGTTTAATCATTCGTTAAACTTGTAGAATAGATTGTCCTGCTGAAGTTGAAGTTCTCATCTGCTTTTCCATCCACAGGCTCTTCGGCCACCACGAATGGTGGTACTGTTATTGGAGAGAACACAGGAGTGTTTGTGGGTGGGCTGCCACAGGGTTACACCATCCTCAGAAAGGATTCTGGTGAGTTTGGGGAGAGTATAGAATTTATATGTTGTCTCCATAGTTGGGGCTCCCTGGTGGTTCAGTGGTAAAGAATCCTTCTGCAGTTTAGGAGATGTGGGTTCCATCTGTGTGTCAGGAAGATCCTCTAGGGAAGGAAACGGCAACCCATTCAGTATTCTTGCCTGAGAAATCCCATTGACAGAGGAGCCTGACAGGCTACAGTCCATAAAAAGTCAGACATGACTTAGTGAATAAACACCACCACCACCACCACAATTTAGTATAGAATCAAAAGTTATCATTTTAAAGTATGGATAATTGTAAAAATAAATAAATAAATAAACAAAGTATGGATAATTGTATTATTTTCTACCTTATGCTGTATTTCCTGCATCAATATATCAAAAATTTCATTTAGATCTCTTCTAAAGGAAGCATGTATTACTTGTATTTAAATTCTTAGAGCCCAGTTCTTTTTATATATCAAAGGAGGTAATTAAACTTTTGCTGAAATACATTGTACTAATTTAAGTCAAAGTTTTATAATTTGGGGATCAAAAGCATGAAAAACTTTGAATTTTGGAGAGGGATATATTTAAATCCTCAAGACTTATTATAGTTACCTCCTCAGAAATACCTGTAGAGAGGAGAGAGTTTTCTTTTGGTCACTTAGACTGGTAGTGAAGTCTCCTGAAAGCATTTAGGCATGCGCGTGCGTGTGCACGTGCGTGCACACACACACACACACACCCTCTGAAGGAGAGAGTTACTTTCCCATCAAGCATACTTCTTAGGTGATGCTAGTGGTAAAGAATCTGCCTGCCAAGCAGGAGATGCAAGAGACATGGGTTCGATCCCTGGTTTGGGGAGATGCACTACAGTAGGAAATGTCAACCCACTCCAGCATTCTTGCCTGAACAATTCCATGGACTACAGGAGCCTAGCAGACTACATTCCATGGGGTTGCAAAGAGCTGGACACAACTGAGCCACTAACACACACACACACACACACGCACACACACACACATGCTTCTTGGCTCTGGTATATGCAGACAGGAGGAGAGCATACCCCAGTACCAAGTACTCTCCTTATAGAGGACATCACTCCATTATAAAGAAATCCTTTGACACTGTGCATATAAATTGACCTTGTGAAGCACTGATCACTGGTAAATACCTTCCCTAGGGTCAGGTCGTGAACTCAAAAGCTGAGAATTCAGCTTTTTCCTGACTTGTAAGGACATTGCCGTATGAAATGCAGCCTCAGCTTCAGGTGCCTTCTTGCCCTCTCTACCTTTTTTTTTTTCTCTCTAATTATATTATCTGCTCACTTTTTCTCTTTCCCAACCCCTTATGACCACCCTATTTACTGTCTTCATAAGCTCCACACTTACTTGGTCTGGGGAGTTCAAAAATTAAATTTAACATTATATTAATGCCTAAAAATTGGTGGCTCAGATGGTAAAGAATCTGCCTGCAATGTGAGAGACCTCCATTCCATTCCTGGGTTGGGAAGACACCCTGGAGAAGGGAATGGCTACCCACTCCAGTATCCTTGACTGGAGTATCCCCAGGAACAGAGCAGCCTGGTGGGCTATAGTCAATGTGGTCGCAAAGAGTTGGACATGACTGAGTGACTAAGCGCAAACATTACTTTACTTGTATAGCAGACTGGGTTCATAATGCTGAAGGTACTAAATTGTAAAATATAGATTGTATATATAGACTTGCTTCAAATCTTGCTTTTAAAATGTGTTATCGCACTTTTATTTTTAAGACCAGAAGCAGATGAAATCTCCTTGTTAATTCCAGAGGCAATGATCTTGCTATACTAAAAAACCAAGGTTTTTGTGCAAACATCTCTTTCTCCAGATAAGATGACTCTTGAACCAGAGCATAGCATACCAATTATTAGCACTTACCATAGCTTTTGGCATGGATGTTTATGTGAGTTATTAAGAAGTTTGTAGGAAGAAGGCAGTGAGACCTATAGCCTCTTTCTTTTACTTTAATGGCACATCAAATTAACTGCTTGAAAAAAAATTTCTCACAGTACATATTTCTTGATATCTATAAACCCCTGCAGACATAGTCCAAAAGGGTTTTGTGGGCTGTCTCAAGGATGTGTATTTTATGAAGAATTTTAATCCCTCTGCTACTTGGGAGCGTCTGGTTTGGCAGAGTTCTGAAGAGCAAACCAATGTGCATAACGACTGGGAGGGATGCCCCACTTCACTCCAAGAGGGAGCCCAGTTTCTAGGGACAGGTAAGAGTCTAAAACAGACATTGGTCATTGCTTAACTGGTATGTTCTATCTTTGGTATAATTTTGTCTCCCCTGATCTGATTATTTTGACCTCGTATGAACCTACTGTCACAGAAACACCTGGTTATGCCATAATGCCCATACACATATTTTCAATGTCTGAGTATATAATATAAATTGTAAGATTCATAAATACATATTCATGTATAAGATTTCTGACAGTTTTGAGTTTACATACAGTAGTGACACTGATGTCCATTTGTAAGTCCATTGTTTTACTTAGAATATAGTTTTACTTAGATGTTTCAAAGGAATTTTGTTTATCAGGCTAATCTGTGTATCTGTTGTATCCCATTGTACAGACCAGTAGTTTTTCTAAGAGTAAAATTTCAGCTGTGTAACAGGGTAAGTAAGTCCCTGAGGGAGAACTGGAGAATATAGCCATCATCGCTGCTATTGCTCCAAAGGCTGTGGCGACGGGGAGGTGAAGCGTCCCCAGCATACCCCCAGCCTACAGTCTCTGTCTAGCGGCCTCTCAGGGTAAGGACTGGAAGGGACTGTGGTGGCTTGACTAAACATGCTTGTTTTTCAATTACAGCCCACTATTGCCTGCTGCATTTATGGCTAAGTTAGTTAGATATTAAGTTTGTTAAACTACCTTCAGAACAGAAAGTTAAATAATATCATACTTTGCATACTTTTTCATTATTTTTTCTCATCACTGTCATTTGTCAGATTTTCTCTTATGTCAATACAACTTATTGTTAATAGTTACATATTAGTAAAATAGTAATAGTCTTAATTGTACATGAATCACTGCCTTTTCATGGCAAAGGGGCTTGTATAACTCAATGAAGCTATGAGCCATGCCATGCAGGGTCACCCAAGTTGAACAGGTCATAGTGAAGAGTTCTGACAAAACGTGATCCACTAGAGGAGGGAATGGCAAACCGCTCCAGTATATTTGCCATGAGAACCCCATGAACTGTATAAAAAGACACACAAAAAAAATGACACCCAAAGATGAACCTCCCAGGTTGGAAGTTGTCCAATATGCTATTTGGGAAGAGCAGAGGACAATTACTAATAGCTTCAGAAAGAATTCAGCAACTGGGCTGAAACAGAAATGATGCTCACTTGTGGATATGTCTGTGATGAAAGTAAAATCCAGTGCTGTAAAGAACAGTGCTGCATAGGAACCTGGAATGTTAGGACCATGAATCAAGGTAAATTGGATGTGGTCAAGCAGAAAATGGGCTTCCCTGGTGGCTCAGCGGGTAAAGAATCCACCTACAATGGGTTCCGAAGATCCCCTGGAGAAGATCCCGTGGAGAATGGCTACCCACTCCAGTATTCTGGCCTGGAGAATTCCATGGACAGTATAGTCTATGGGGTCACAAAGAGTCAGACACGACTGAGCAACTCTCACTTCACTTCACTTCACACAGGAGATGGCAAGAATAAACATTAGCATCTTAGGAATCAGTGAACTAAAATGGATGCGAATGGGTGAATTTAATTCAGATGGCCATTATATCTTCTATTGTAGGCAAGAATACATAGAGGAGATGGAGTAGCCCTCATAATCAACAAAAGAGTCTGAAATGCAGTACTTGGGTGCAACCTCAGAAAAGACAGAATGATCTCAGTGCGTTTCCAAGGCAAGCCATTCAGCATCACAGTAATCCAAGTCTATGCCTCAACCACCAATGCCGAAGAAGCTGAGGTTGATCAGTTCTACGAAGACCTAAAAGACCTCCTAGAACTAACACCAAAAAAAGATGTCCTATTCATCATAAGGGATTGGAATGCAAAAAAGGAAGTTAGATGCTTGGAGTAACAGGCAGGTTTGGCCTTGGAATACAAAATGAAGCAGGGTAAAGGCTAACATAAATCTGCCAAAATAATGCGCTGATTATAGCAAACACTTTTTTTTTCAACAACACAAGAGACAGGTTTACCCATGGACATCACCAAATAGTCAACACTGAAACCAGATTGATTACATTCTTTGTAGCCAAAGATGGAGAAGCTGTATACAGTCAACAGAAACAAGACCTGGAGCTGACTGTGGCTCACACCATCAGCTTCTCATAGCAAAATTCAGGCTTAAAATAAAGAAAGTGGGGGAAATGACTAGGCCAGTTGGGTAAGACTTAAATCCCCTAAGAATACAGTGGAGGTGACAAAGAGATTCAAGGGATTAGATCTAGTAAACAGTGCCTGAAGGACTCGAACAGAGGTTCGTAGTATTGTATAGGAGGCAGCACACAAACCATCCCAAAGAAAAAGAAATGCAGGAAGGAAAAGTGGTGTCTAAGGGGGCTTTACAAATAGCCGAGGAAAGAAGAGAAGTAAAAAGCAAGGGAGAAAGGGAAGGGTACACCCAACTAAATGCAGAGTTCCAGAGAACAGCAAGGAGAGACAAGAAGGCCTTCTTCAGTGAAAAATTCAAAGAAATAGAGAAAAACAGCAGAAAAGAAAGACTGGAGAACTCTCCAAGAAAATTGGAATTATCAAAGGAACATTTCATCCAAAGATGGGCACAATAAAGGACAGACATGGTAAAGACCTAATAGAAGCAGAAGAAATCAAGAAGAGATGACAAGAATAAACAGAAGAACTGCACAAAAAAGATCTTAATGACCCAGATAACCTCAGTGGTGTGGTTACTCACCCAGAGCCCAACATTCTGGAGTGTGAAGTCAAGCAGGCCTTAGGAAGCACTGCTGCCAATAAAGCTAGTGGGGATGATGGGATTCCAGAAGAGCTAATTAAAATCCTAAAAGATGATGCTATTAAAGTGTTGCACTCAGTATGTCAGCAAATTTGGAAAATCCCACACTGGCCACAGGACTGGAAAAGGTCAATCCTCTTCCCAGTTCCCAAGTAGGGCAGTACTAAAGAATGTTCAAACCACTGGACAATTGCACTCATGTCCCATACTAGTAAGATTATGCTCAAAATCCTTCAAGCTAGGCTTCTGCATTAAATGAACCAAGAACTTCCAGATGTTCAAGCTGGGGTTAGAAAAGGCAGAGGAACCAGAGATCAAATTGCCAACATTCACTGGATCATAAAGAAAGCAAGAGAATTCCAGAAAAACATCTACCTCAGTTTCATTTACTATGCTAAAGCCTTTGACTGTGTGGATCATAACAAACTGGAAAACTCTTAAAAAGATGGAAATACTAGACCATCTTATCTGTCTCCCAAGAAACTTGTATGCGGGGTCAAGAAGCAACAGTTAGAACCTTGTCTGAAACAACTAACTGGTTCAGGATTGAGAAAGGAATACTCAAGGCTGTTTATTTTCACCCTGTTTATATAACTTATACACAGAGCATGTCATGTGAAATGCCGGGCTAGATGAGTTACAAGCTGGAAACAAGATTGCTGGGAAAAATATCAACAACTTCAGATATGTAGATGATACCACTTTAATGGCAGCAGCAAAGAGAAACTAAAGAGCCTCTTGATAATAGTGAAGGAGGAGAGTGAAAAAGCAGGCTTAAAACTCAATATTAAAAAACTGAGATCATGGCATATGGTCCCATCACTTCATGGCAAATAGATGGAGAAAAGGTGAAAGCAGTGACAGATTTCTTCTTCTTGGGCTCTAAAATCACTGCAGATGGTGACTGCAACCATGAAATTAGAAGATGATTACTTCTTGGCCCGAAAGCTGTGACAAACCTAGATGGTGTGTTAAAAAAAGTTAAAGATATCAGTTTGCCAACAAAGGTCCATATAGTCAAGGCTATGGTCTTTCCAGTAGTCATGTATGGATCTGAGAGTTGAATCATAAAGAAGAATTGATGCCTTCAAACTGTGGTGTTGGAGAAGAGTCTTGAGAGTCCCTTGGACAGCAAGATCAAATAAGTCAATCTTAAAGGAAATCAAACCTAAATACTCTTTGGAAGGATTGATGCTGGTGCTGAAGCTCCAGTACTTTGGCGACCTCGTGTGCAGAGCCAACTCGTGGGAAAAGACCCTGATGCTGGAAAAGATTGAAGGCAGAAGGAGAAGAGAGTAACAGAGGATGAGATGGTTGGATGGCATTGCCAGTTCAATGGACATAAACTTGGGCAAACTCCGGGAGATGGTGAGGGACAGGGAAGCCTGGCTTGCTGTAGTCCACAAGGTCACGGAGAGTTGGACATGACTTAGCGACTGAACAACAACAGCAAAATAGTCTTAATTGTCCATCAATTAGTAAATAGCTTCCTCTTAAAAGATATGTGAAGTTCATTCTTCCACTTCTTTGCAGTTACAAGGTGATTTTCTTGACATTGATCTGCATCTTCTTTTGTGAGAAATTTATTCACTGACAGAATATGACCTGAGGTTGTCTTACGACATCGTAAAGAAGTTAACAGTATTGCTCTGCACATGCTAATTTGTACATGTTGTTTTCTCTAAAGGGTTCCTGGAGCTTTATCCATACTTGTTTCATGGTGGAATGGACTTTGAAATTTCTTTTAAGTTCAGAACTGACCAACTGAATGGATTGCTGCTTTTCATTTACAACAAAGATGGACCTGATTTTCTTGCTGTATGTTAATTGATTTATTTAAATTTATTTTAAAATGTTAGATCCAGTTTTAAAATCAACAAACCGTGTATTAACATTATATGTGATTTCAATTTCTTTTCAAATTCATTTTTGTTTTTATTTTTTTTTCCCCGCATCATTTTCACTTTTTTAAGTCCTATGAGACATTTGTATTTTAAGGTCATGATGATTTTTTAAATGATTTTATATTTTTAAAATTATAACTTTAACAAAGCATCCTAAATATAAGGAATTAAGAAAATCTAATTTAGTTCCCTTATATATGAAAAATGTTTCTTTATTACCTTTTTATAATGTCAAATATATGTATATTTGTTTAGTATTGTGCACACATATACATAAAATAAAATACAATAGTATGAGTAGCACTCATGAACTTACCACCAAAGAACTAAAATATTATCAAATTTTTGCACCCATCTCTAGGGTTTCTCCTGGCCCATTTCCCTCACTCCCTCTAGAGGTAATATGTAATCGTAATTTTGTGTTTGTTATCTATTTGCATTTGTATAGTTTGGACACTGTGAGTGAATCCATAAAAATCCTTGTTTTTGAAATTTTGTAAAAGCGGTAGTATACTCTAAGTATACTTATATACTTAGGCAATTGTTTTAGCCCTTGACTTTGTTTCTGAGTTATTCAAGCTATTCATTTTTCATGGCTGAGTAATATATCTCTTTCAGTAAGGTAGTGGTTATTCCATGTTTTTTCTGTCATGAATTAGGCTACTATGAACATTTTTATAGGATGCACTTCATACACCAGAAGGGTGAACTTTTAGTTGAAGATATTAGTAGAAAGAATATGGGCTTTTGGTGTCAGACAAGCGAGAGAAAGATAGTTATTTTTCTCTATTACACAAGATCCTCCAAAATTTTGCTTCTACATACCTGGCAGAACTAAAACTTTCTCTTTTCCCCATATGAATTATTTTACCCCATTTAATACCTTTTTCTAAGTCTAATCTGCTCATACTTGTTCCTGTGCCATTGAATGTGTTAATTTTCCTGCTGAAGATTCTCCATGACTCTTACTTCCAAAAACCTTACTTCACACTTTTCCTAGTTCTTAGGGAACAAAAGATATATCCTGTCTCTGATGTCATTGAACCCCATTCTAATCTTATTTATAACATTACCACATGTTTGCCTAAGGGTTTCCCAGGTGGCATAGTGGTAAAGAATCTGCCTGCCAACGCAGGAGACAAAAGAGATGCAGGTTCGATCTCTGGTTGGGAATATCCTCTGGAGTAGGAAATGGTAACCTGCTCCAGTATTCTTGCCTGGAAGAGTCCATGAACAGAGGATCGTGGCAGGCTACAGTTTATAGAGTCACAAAGAGTTGGACACAACTGAATGACTGAGTACACGCACAGCATGTTTGCCTCTGCTATTAAGACAGTGTAATTCTTGGGAACACTTTCTCATATAATAGCAGAACATATTACCTCGTATAATCACAGAACACAATAGGGAAAGTCAATATTTATTGAATGGTGGGATAAAAAAAAAGAATGACTACCTGATGTACTTCATAAAGATGATTTTTACATAGGAAAGAAATAATTTTTTTAAAAATTTTTTTTTCCATTTATTTTTATTAGTTGGAGGCTAATTACTTTACATCATTGCAGTGGTTTTTGTCATACATTGAAATGAATTAGCCATGGATTTACATGTATTCCCCATCCCGGTCCCCCCTCCCACCTCCCTCTCCACCCGATCCCTCTGGGTCTTCCCAATGCACCAGGCCCGAGCACTTGTCTCATGCATCCAACCTGGGCTGGTGATCTGTTTCACCCTAGATAATATACATGTTTCGATGCTGTTCTCTTGAAACATCCCACCCTCGCCTTCTCCCAGAGTCCACAAGTCTGTTCTATACATCAATGCGTTACTTAATGGACATTCCTGGTGGCTCAGATGGTAAAGAATCTGCCTACAGTGCAGGAGATGTGGGTTCAATCCCTGGTTGAGAATATCCTCTGGAGTAGGAAATGGCAACCTGCTCCAGTATTCTTTCCTGGAAGATTCCATGGATAGAGCAGCCTGGTGGGCTACAGTCCATGGGATCTCAAAGAGTCAGACGTGACTGAGCAACTAACAGATTTCACGTTAATTTGTTTCATTATCATGTTCTCAAATGTTCAAGTATCCTCTGGCCACCAGTTTGACTTCTAACAAAATAAGAACATAGTAGGTAAGATAATTATCGAGTAACATTTTGAAGAAAAACATACGGAGGCATTTCCTTTACCATGAAATGTGGGTGAAATATGTTCATATTAGAAAATGGAATCTTAATCTAAAGGTACAGACATAGAAGCAATTATGTTAGTCAGAGATTTAGAATAGAAACACTGAAACATCAAATCAAAATACATCTTACAAATTTGAAATTGAGTTCACTAACCAGTTAAAATAAGCTTAATCAGGCTAGACATTTCATTTTCTTATTGTCTTGTCATATTTTCCCCCAAATTAAATTGATATATGAAGTAGTATTTTCTCATTTTCTAAAGATTCAAATAAAAATAGAGTCAGAGTTTAAACCGTTCTGTTCGCTTCAGTCATTCAGTCACTTATGCTAGGGTTTAATCTTTTACCTATGTTGCCTCAAAAAGAAAAAAAGGTTTTGCCTATATAATATTGCATTACATCATATCATCATTACTGGGTATAAATGTGTCTGACTCATTACAACATCCTTCATGTCAATTATAAGCTTGCAAAGTGCTTCATTATATGTTACTCCAGTTCTGCTTAGAATAAAGTGGGACATTTTTATAGAGTACTTTCAGGGAAATTTCTTGCTTTTCTTCAAGAAGTTGACCTTCTGTTCTCTCCCAAACTGCTATTCTGCAGTCTTTTTATATACCTATTTTCTTTTTAATATGAAATACAGATGGAACTGAAGAGTGGAATATTGAGCTTCCGGTTAAATACTAGTCTTACTTTTACACAAGTGGATCTTTGGCCGGGGCTGTCCTACTGTGATGGAAAGTGGAATAAAGTGATCATTAAAAAAAATGATTCCGTCATATCAGCAAGCATGAATGAACTGATGGAGCACGTGTCAGAGTCCAGAGCCCAGGCACTGGTGGTGAATTCCCCCGTCTATGTGGGAGGAATCCCACGGGAGCTGCATGACTCTTATAAACACCTGAAGCTGGAACAAGGTAAACTGCATCGGGAAGTGCAGCCCTAGTGCTCCCAGGTCTTGGTGGTTCTGTGTTTCAAGACAGAGCAGTAGAACTGATCTGAAAACAACATGTATTCGTCTATTTTCTGGAAGAATTACAGGTTCTAAAAAAAAAAGTCACAAAATACTTCTTCAAATAGTTTTGTATGTTGCCCTTAAGAGTATGTTATATCTATTTACACGTTAAATCATACCTATTTATACAGTAAATAATAAATCAGTATATTTAGTCAACCATCTTTATCAGATGTAATTTATAGACATGTATATTTGTGTGCACATGTATATGTGTATGTATGTATACACACACATGAATATATTATGTTTCCTTGTATGTTTTTCTGGGATACGCATGTGGTTCTGGTTCTTCTAAATGCTGACCATTATCTTTATTTACAGATTAGGTTAGTGTGCACAGCCAGGAAAAATGGCCTTAAATACCCTGGGTTTTTTTTTCTGACATCAATGCTGTTTGTTTCCATGCATTTCCATGGAGCTCTCATGCAGCAAAGCACATGAAAATGTGAGATTGCTTTAATTTCTGACATACTTGTGAAAAATATGTATGTCATTTAATATTCATAGCCATCAATGAAAGAAAAAAGTAAAAGTATATGACATATAGCTAAAGGAAACCTTTAACTCGTATAAGGAGTTTGAACATAATTGGGAAAATTATTGATTATAAAAGACTAATTATATGTGAGTTCATATTGTGTGACAGGTGTGGTTCTCAGAGCCTCGTGTGAGAATAGTTGGTTCAGTCTTCAGAGCAAGCCCATGAGACAGGCATTATTACTTGTATCCCCATTTTAAAGGTTGAGAAACTTGAGAGCAGGGAGGAAAGTAATTTGCTCAAGGTCAGTGGCCACTAAGCAGATGGCAAGCCAACCCATCTTGGGCTGCCTCTTATTAAAGCCCACTTTCCTTATTATAGTCAAATGTTCTCTTTCATGGGCACTAGTCAAAGTTCCTTTCTCTATGAAGTGGGAAAAGCACAGAACTTTCAGCTTGTATGCTTCTGTGTAGAAAATGTTCTCAACATATTTCAAAACCTGTGCACCCTGAATGGTTAAAATTTCCATGAAGCAGTCTTTGCCTATTTGGTAAGTACATAAAGATTTAAATGTCTTTGAATAGAAAATATATGGCAAGCTCTAAGGAGACTTTTAGAAGGGTACTAGTAGGGAGTTAATGAATATCTGGGGTGTAAGACAGTAATGACATTTTCAAGGCACTTAAGATGTAACAGCAGCTAAAAATATTACATTCATATAAGGGCTTCTTTGGGTTTTCAGGTTTCTGAGGTTAGAAAGAGCTTGAAAACTCTTTATAAGAACAAAATTACTTGATTCTATTTACATCTAGGAAAAATCCTCTGTATACTGAGCATTTTACTGTCAAAGTACACCAAAACCCATTATTATGAATGTCCTAGAAAGCTGGCTAAAATTGGAATTATAAGATGATAATGATGAAACTTTAAAGCATCAACATTGACCCAAGGGGACTAACTCTATGCCTAAGACTGTGATACTGGAAGATATTTTATTTATGGATAATACTAAATTTTTATCATTGCAGTATCATCCATATCAGTGGTTCTTAAACCACTGATAAAATATTGAAGTATAGTAGCTAAAACTTTGTAAGAACTCAATAAAATTAGCTATTATTATTATTCAAGATCCACTGGAATTGCCCAGAAAAGGTTTTTTAAAATGCAGGTTTTAAATGGTATTTAAATGGCTTTGTCTCTTAAGTTCCTGACTCAGATGTTTTGAATAGTACTGATTTATATAAGTAGCAGCATGTTTTACACAGTGATCAGGAGAACATTCACAATATAAAGGTGCTGCATGCATGTAGTAAATTGCAACTAAAACTAATCATGTTCACTTACTGTATTGGTTCGGTGGTAAAGAATCCACCTGCAATGTGAGAGACCCAAGTTTGATCCCTGGATCGGGAAGATCCCCTGGAGAAAGGAATGGCAACCCACTCCAATATTACTGCCTGGTAAATGCCATGGACAGAAGAGCCTGGTGGGCTATAGTCCATGGGGTCGCAAAGAGTCAGGCACGACTTAGCGACTAAACAACAACAGTGACGTGCTTCTTCATTACCACCTTTTCCACAGGCTCTATTTTTGTGGTCCTACTAGAGCTATTTTCTTTAATATCCATTATTGTCACAATCTTCCTTTAAATCAAAGGCAGATTAATTTTCCTCTGTGTTCTGGAGACACTGGGCAACATAATGTGCTGAAGATGTTCCACCTTAGACCATGGGTGCTTGGGTTGGGATTGAGCGGGCCATGACATGTGGTCTCCCAGGTTATGGTCTGTCCATAGCTCTGAGCAGAGAGGTTAAGAGTGGGGTTGACAGCCCACCATCCTGCAGGTCCAAGCGCCCTAGGGTTGGACTCCTCCCCCAGGGGGCTACTGTGTCTCTCAGATTTGTCAACCCAGGGTTCTAGACCACCTTCCTGTTATTCAGAGACCTGGGAGGAGGATAGGTGTGGGGAGTCGCTTCCAGTTTTCACAAAGGTAGGGAAAAAAAGATGAGGAGGCATCACTAGTCTTCCCACAGACAGCCCCTCTCCTCTCTTTTTACCCTCGCATTGCAGTCATATTTCAGAGATCACTAGGGAGCATTTCCAGTGGAGGGTTTCTGATGGTGCAGAGTTGGAAGAATGGTACAACCTTGACAAAACTTTGACAAAACCGTCTGCTACCCTGAGGATAGCACAGCAAGGACCCTGCACTATAGCCTAGGTAGCTGTACCCCCAAGGCCTGAGGGCAGAGTCCCACTTCCTAAGCAGAATTACTGCATAGAAGCATCGTTCTGTAACTCTGCACCTTTTTATCTCCAGAGTGAAGGAAGCCTATGACTGTGGCCTTTTCAAAATTTAAAATTGTGTCCTGTGTATTAATGTTTAAGATACTTCTTTAAATTTTTTTAACCTTCTTAATGTAGTTAAATATACCTAACATTACTTTGCTGACAAAGGTCTGTATAGTTAAAGCTTTGGGTTTTCCAGTAGTCATGTATGGATGTGAGAGTTGGACTATAAAGAAAGCTGAGCACTGAAAAATTGATGCTTTTGAACTGTGGTGTTGGAGAAGACTCTTGAGAGTCCCTTGGACTGCAAGGAGATCAAACCAGTCAATCCTAAAGGAAATCAATCCTGAATATTATTGAAGGGACTGATGCTAAAGCTGAAATTCCAATACTTTGGCCATGTGATATGAAGAACTGACTCATTAGAGAAGACCCTGATGCTGGGAAAGATTGAAGGCAGGAGGAGAAGGGGACGACAGAGGATGAGATGGTTGGATGACATCACCAACTCAATGGACATGAGTTTGAGTGAACTCCAGGGGATGGTGATGGACAGGGAAGCCTGGCATGCTGCAGTCCATGGGGTCGCAAAGAGTTGGACACAACTGAACGACTGAGCAACAGCAGATACCTAACATACAGTTGGGGTTTGCCAGGTGACTCAAAGAATCTACCTACTAATATAGGAGATGTGGGTTTGATCCCTGGGTCGGGAAGATCTTCTGCAGAAGGAAATGACAACCCAGTATTCTTCCCTGGAAAATTCCATGAGCAGAGGAGCCTAGTGGGCTACAGTCCATGGGGTCATAGAGAATCGGACATGACTTAGCAACTGAACAACAGTAACACCTAACATACCATTTACCATCGTAATCACTTTTAAGTGTCCAGTTCAGGCATTTAGTACATTCATGTTTTTGAGCAACCATCAACACCATCTATCTCTAGCAGTCTTTTCATTCTGTGAAACTGAAATTCTGTACCCCTTGAACAATAAAGGGGCATTCCTTATAAGGGTGCATTAATGTTTGCTGAAGCTGTTTTTGAATTGTTCATCCTTTTATTGGCAGGGAAACTGCAGGACCAGAGAAGTTAGGTGACCCAGCTCTGTGCCATCAGAAAATTACTACTTGTAAAGAAATTAGAATTCTTAGCTTCTGAATTTTCAAGGAGATGCTTTTATATTGAGCTTCATTACTTTCAACTCAATTTACCCAACTTACTGAGTATCTACTGTGAGTTGAAGATAGACTAGCAGTATTGATCATTCAGGCCTAAAGGAATGTGAATAATAGCAAAGGCATTTAAAAGGAAATAGGCTGCAACTTAATGTGTTAGAAGACAGAATAACACACCATATAAATGCTGAAGAGAACAATATGGTCATTGTTAGAATTAACTTACTTTGCTGTCCAGCATTGCATTGTGTTTTATTTCCATTTCTTGCTGGTGGGCTTTAATCCTGAAAAGAACTAATTATCTGTTTGGGGCCGTTCAGACTTGGCAGTATTTTGTTCACGAAAGAGACTATGTTTTCCAGCAATCTCAGACTCAGTCTGTTTGTCCCTTCTTTGACAATTGTGTGCAGTTTTGTGAGCAGAGTGCTGTCAAACCTCACAGAATTGATCTCTGTTTATACAAAATAGCGAGTCATTCAAAGCTCCTGCTGCTCCCCGGGTGACATGATGCCCCATGGTTCTGTAAGAAAAGGGCAGTCAGCGCACACTTCAAACCCATCTCCTCCACCTTCTCTATTAAACCTCCCAGAACTGAGTGCAGTGTGGCTATTCTAAAGTCAGTTGAGTAGAGTACACTTTGCAGGATGCTTCTTGTGTTGCTATTGCCAAAGTTGAATTTGCTTCCTGTCCTGAGACCATGAACCTGAAACTGGTAATCATTTTGCACAGTTGATATTATGGAACTCAGTGAAATTGGTGGAGCACAGTGACAGCTCCCAAGTGTCCCGATTTAACTGGGGCTTCGTTCTATGACTATGCAATGGTTGGTATGGAATTCATTGCAATAACTCATGATTTTAGTGTATTTTGAAACTATATTCTTTCTCCTTGTTGTTGTTCAGTTGGTAAGTCATGTCTAACCTTTGCAACCCCATGGACTGCAGATCATCAGGCTTCCTTGTCCTTCACTATCTTCAGGAGTTGGCTCAGACTCATGTCCATTGAGTTGGTGATCTTATCCAACCATCTCCTACTGTTCTGCGTTAGAACCTCGTGCTTGCATGCTGTCATGTCCAACTCTTTGTGAGGCTATGGACTGTAGCCCATCAGGCTCCTCTGTCCATGTGATTTCCCAGGCAACAGTTCTGGAGTGGGTTGCCATTTTCTCCTCCAGGGGATCATTCCAACCCTGGGACCAAACCTACATCTACCCATGTTTCCTGCATTGCAGGCAGATTCTTTACCACTGAGCCACTGAGGACCTGAGAGTGTATTTTTTTCCTCAGTGAGCTTCTTGAATAATCATGCTCATTCACATATTAGTTTCTGGCACTTAGACATGAACTTATACATACATGTCTCTTCATTTTCCAGGATTGAGAAACATGTGAAAATGCTCTCACCATAATGTGTAATTGCCTATATATTATGTAGCACCACTGGACTACATATTATTTCATAAGAATAAACAGCATGCAAAAAAACTACTCTTAAAAAGATATAATACATACTTTTCAGTTGAATCTAATTCAGTTGAATTACCATGATCAGCTTGTATATATATTTCAAAATAACGTAAATATAAATACTTCCGGTAAAAGCTTAGCCTGGTAAAAAGCAGGCAGGGGGAGCATGCAGGACCTCCAAAGAAGACTTGAAAGTTTGCAAATTGTGTCTAAACCACCTCCCCAACATCATCAAAATGCAGTACTACAGGGGAGAAAAATGATGGCTAATTGAGGACTCAAGCCCTTCGTGTGATCCTCATCCCTTACTGTTTGCTAGGTTTCGGTGGTTGCATGAAGGATGTGAAGTTTGCACGGGGTGCCGTCATTAACTTGGCATCCGTGTCCAGTGGTGCTGTCAGAGTCAATCTGGATGGATGCTTGTCAACTGACAGTGCTGCTAAGTGCAGGGGAAATGACTCCATCCTGGTGTACCGGGGAGAAGAGCGGACTGCTTATGAGAGCCGTCTCCAGCCGTTCACAGGTAACTCGGAGATGCTCTAAATTCAGTGTTTCACGGCTCTTCCTCATCGCCTCTTCCCTCCCTGCCAGCCCACCACTAGTCTCCATGAGTCCTGTGTTAACTTTCCTCCTTCTCATTTCCATTAAAGAATACCTGTATCGAGTAACAGCCTCACATGAAGGAGGTTCAGTACATAGCGACTGGAGCCGGGGACGCACAACAGGAGCAGGTAAAGAGTGTTTATCTTAAGATGTGTATTGCACACAAATGCACACATGTGTGCATGTAAAGAAAAACAAAACCTCTCACCCTTGCAGCAAGTAGCATGTTTGAAATCTTGTGACAGAGCACACCTTGATTTGCAGAGTCATCTGTTGTTGGTGAAAATGCTTAGTGGACCAGGACTTTTGATTCTTCAAATAGTTCATAAAGATTTGTTCAGGCTGAATCTTTCCTCTTCAGATGCAGAAGAAAGTAAGTTCAAGTTGTCTTGATAAAGGCCCATATCGACTGTAATTCATTAAAGAACTGGAAATCTTTACAAGTTGCTTAGTCCCCGAAAAGCTAAAGTCAGGGTTACCTTTAGATGAGGGTAGGCAGCTTCTGGCCTCTTTGGTGGAGAGCTTGTTTGAAACCCACACTGTGGTTGGAAGCAAATGTGTCTTTTATTGGGCTTCCACAATGGCTCAGTCGGAAAAGAATCTTCCTGCGATACAGGAGACACAGGAGGTGCAGGTTCGATCCCTGTATCAGGAAGATCCACTGGAGAAATGGCAGCTCATTTCAGTATTCTTGCCTGGAAAATTCCATGGGTGGAGGGGCCTGGTGGGCTACAGTTCATGGGGTCTCCAAAACAGTTGGATATGACTAAACTTGCACGCATGTGTCTTTTATCACATAATGGCAGATGTTTGCCATGGTGCTTACTGTTAGGGTCTCAGAATGCCTCTCCCAGGATAGAAATGACTGAGTGGTCTAATTTCTTTGAGTTGATTGGAGAAGCAACTAGGAAACAGACTACTAGATCTAATCTCAGATAACTGATTTATTAGTACTTTGTACTTCTGACAGTGACTGCAGCATCTTTTCACATAATGCCATCACAAAGAGGCATTCATTATGAGAAGTTTTGTGAGTCAGCAGCCTTCTACCATTTTAGAGGAAATATTTGTCAGAAAGATAAATACATTTCCGTATGATTGATACTCTTAAAGAGTTGTCATTAGCAAGTCATGATTTGTCTAAAGACGTGTTTGTTTGTCTTACCAAGTACCCGCTCAGATTTATTATCAATAACAGGTTACTAGTGCAGACGTCCTTTGAGGAATCTTTTTAATCTAAAAGATAATTAAATACTGAGATGGGATACTAAAAAGAATTTTTGAAGTTTGCTGCCTATAGAGTTTCCAGAAGAGGACAACTTGATACTTTTCCAGGATGAGTTAAATCATCATCTATTTATAGGCAAGACAATGAACTGAATGATCCCTTAAATCCTTTTCAATTTTAGATCTTAGAAAAAGCTCTAATGTAAAATGTTCATTTGTGACTGGCATGTTCTCTGCCCCTGTTTCACATTTCTCTACTTTATTAATAAATATAAAGCCTGCTTTCAGTCTAATTCAGCAACCAAAATAGGTGTCCAGAAAGTGCATGCCTTACATAGCTTAATAACCCCCATTTTGAGTACCACCAAGAAAGTATGCAAATAGAGCTCTGAATTTATAGCAGTGATCTGACCACAAAGTCTTATGCCATAAATTCATATTTACAATCTGACCACAGCACCGAGCAGCTACATGCTCCCAAGGGTTGGAGAATAATTGCGCTATTTAATTATTTTTGAGTCAGTTTTGCTCTGTCCCTTATGAGAACACCATCTGTTAGACAGGACTGTACTTTGCCCTGTACCACATTTCAGAACGAATAAAATCAGCATCACTCCCATTGTCCTATCACTTGGAACGTGACTGCATGGCCTGTGCATTTTCTAAAGTTGCTTGTAATGTTTCACCTGCACAGACAGTGGTTCTCCACCTCTGTGCTTCCTCTCATTCCTTATGCTCATGATGCTTCCCTTGCGGCAGTCCTGTTTTATTGGCCTGAAGAGTAACGTCAGAGGAGGAGGCTATTTGATGGGGAGACACCAGGGTGCTCCTCCGTCGAGAGCGCTCAGGAGTCCAGCAGCAGTCCGAGCCCCTCTGTCATCCATCATCCTGCCATGGAGTTCCTCGGGCTTTTTCTCGCTATCCTCCATGCAGTCAGCTGTGATAAAGTTGTTACTGATCAGAACCATAGAAATACCTAATAAATAGTTAAAGATTATGGATTTTTAACTAGGGGATTCAGCTTCTAGGTGAGGTTTTGTAGCTTCTTTAAACTTGTCATTTTGTGTTACTTTGTGATACTCCGAAGGAAATGGCTCTGAATATGGTTTTGTAGAATCTCAAGGGCTCTGACTTCTCTACTTGCCCCTTCCCCTAAGTGCAGTTAGGAAAGTATCCTAACAGTATACAGTATACAGTACCCTGTATATCCCACCTGGTAGAACTTTGCTTCTTTAAAAATTAATTGGAAAAACAACTGAATTTGGCAAATGGGATCAGACCTTCAAGTACAATATGATCACATTTGTGATATTTTTTGGCTAATACATTGACGATATAAAAGTGTCAAACCACTATGTATAATAACAGTCTAATTATCTTGCTTCAAAGGGGTACATCATTATATTGTTTGAACTTGCTATCGGCCTACCATCCACCTCCTTCTTTATGAGTGATGTTTAAAACATGTTGGATACATTAAATGTTTTTGGAAAACCTGGTCTAGGCTTGAAAGAACGTGATGTCGATGGAGTTTTGATGGTTTTGAAATATCGCTTAAACTGAATGGCTCAAGATGTGCAGTCATATTAAATCAATGCTGAAAAGTTACAACTCTAATAAATTGTATTTATGCTAATGGTTGAGTCTGATTTACTGCAGCCATTAAAAGTGAAGAATAGGAGCAATAGTCTTCTCAGAACTGCCATTCTGCCTATTTTCTCTTTTATCCTTTCACAGCTCCACAAAGTGTACCAACTCCCTCAGGAGTCCACAGCATAAATGGCTATAGCATCGAGGTGACCTGGGATGAACCTGTTGTGGCTAGAGGTGTAATTGAGAAGTATATCCTGAGAGCCTACAGTGAGGACGCCCCTGGTCCACCCCGCATTCCCTCTGCCAGCGCTGAGCTTGTCGATACCAACACCTTCACAGGTAAAGTGGGTTCCTCGAGGGAGTAGATCTTATTAATTTTCTTTTTGTTTTGACTTTGAATACAAACATCCTTCAAGCCTTTTCCCCTAGTATATGAAAAAGTCTCGGATTTTTGCCTGGTTACAAACAACAAGAATCATGTAATTATACGGACACCTCTATCCATGAAGGATGAAAAATAATTCTATAAATGTTTATGGGCTTTCATGGATAGTTTCATTATGAGGCTGATACTTTCTCCATCCCCCAAAGGTTAGGTCACAAGCGGCTCTCACCCTTAATGAGGTTCTTATACCTAGGGTGCTTATATACCCTTCAAATGTGAAACTTTTCAAGATCTTATGTATAGATAGGGTGCCAGTGACCTATTTTACCATGCAAAAGTTTACTCGTTGGGACTAGCCCAAGTTCACAGGACTGTTATTTATTGTAAAATTGTTTATTAAACCTAATTATGTCAAGGTAGAGGAGATTAGAGCACCAGCAGTTTGACTGGCAAATCAGTGAATCAATTTCTCACGGTGCAGCATGGATAGTGTGCAGACCGGCGGGAGTGAAATACACTCACGAGCATCACACAAGGTCCCATGCTCAAATTTCTGCTTGTGTCATAAAATAGCAGTTTTCAGACTCATGAAATGTTAAGGCCCATTTAAATGGAAAGCCAGATTTAAGCCTTTGACCAAAAAAAATAAAATAAAATAAAATGCATCAAAGAAATTTAATAGAAAAAATAATTTTCTTCTGTCAGAGATACTTTCAGAACTTGACAAATTAGATGGATTTTCAAAGTGGCCTGAATTGTTTTTCTAACACGTCAGTCAACTCTATCAATCTTTACTTCCTTGTTTTAGATTCCTCAGAATCTACAGCCCAAATATACACCAATTAAAAAAAATTTGTTTATCTTTCATTTCCTTTGTCCTCTATTTTACCCATCTGATAAAAACCCAGTCTGATTAGGCCTTTGCCCACGCTGCACATTGCAGCTAAGTGGGTTGGAAAAAGTCTCAGTTCCCATTTTCTGTTGGACACTCAGTAATGACACCAATCCTACTGTGTTTCTATAATAAGCTCCTTCTCCCATTCTCCTCGTTAAATATTTTATATTTTCCCAAACTATCTAGATGTTAACCTGCCTTCTTTATCCCACTCAGCTGATAGCCTTATATATGAGATTTTCTTAGACACCAAAAAAAAAAACCAAAATCTATCATAAAAAATTTCTGTCACTCTCTTCCTATGAAATATATACATTAATTGCATTTTTCTGACCAATAACACTGTTAATATTATTTTCATTTTTTTCACATTTCTCTCCAATTCCCTTCCTGTTTTTATAGAGCTTCCCTTATGCTATTAAAAATAAAATCTTCAAAAGTCCTATGGACCCCAACTTTCCCTGCTTTTTCAGAGCTATTACTGGTGCTGTCTTCCTCTTATATTTTAGCGTCAGTCTCCTGCAGTCTTTTCCCAAGTGTGGTGCTAGGACTTGGATCAACAGCCTCCCCTGAGACCTTCTTATTCATGCACATTCTCTGGCCCACACCCACGTGCTGAAGCAGAAGCTCTGAAGCAGGGCTTAGCAGTCCCATTTTACCAAGCCCTCCTCTAGTGATGCTGATGCTGCCGAAGTCAGAGCCACTGCCCATTTGGGTTCTGCCCAGGATCATTCAGACATATCTATCAGTACCCATTGCTAAACACAAACAAACCCAAACCAATGATAAAAATCCTCCTTTTATCTAAAGTCCCTTCCAGCTATTGCTGTCTCTCTCCTCTTCCTAAGGCATCTATGGTGTTGTCCCCATTTCTTCATCAGATCTGGCTTCTGCTTACTTGCCTTGTTGAGGACTCCAAAAACTTCCATTTTAAATATCCACAGAACACTACAATCCTGGTCTCCTCTGCTTGATGGCATTCTGCACTGTGGATTTCTTACCATCTCTTGAAATGTTTCATCACTTTTCTGATTGTTCTGCTCTGGGTCCCCTTTTCTCAGGGTCTTTGCCCACTCCCTCAGAAGCTCAACTCTGCTTTTTGAAAGACCTCAGGGTTTAGACCTGGGACCTTTTCTCTCTCTTTTAAAATTTTTTTCTACAGTCTTGCTCCAGGAAACTCATAGACTCACAAAGCATCCAATACCCTACAGACACTATTGACTCCTAAATGCACATCCTACCCAGACTTCCAAATGTGTGTATCCAGCAGGCATTTGAAGAAAAAATTGACATTTCCAGTAGATGTCTCATTATTTCTAAAGTTACCATCTCCAAAACTGAATTTCTGTTCCTCATGCATTCTCAATATCAATAAATGATATCTCCAGCCCCCCAGTTAATTGAGCTTGAGAAGTTTTGAGATGTTTATATCCTGTTCATACATCATATATCCGTGTTTATTGATTTCATTTTTTAAACTAGGTGTTAAACTCATCTATGTCTCCCCTTATCTACTGTCCAAGACAAACCATTCCAATATCTTACCTGGACAACTACAGTACTCTCCTTTCTCATGACACTTCCACCCCACACCGCCATGATTCCATCCCACCAAGCGACCAGACATCATGCTCCTCTCTTTAAAATTCTTCAGCTGCTTTCCACTGCCTCTCTCCCAATCTCATTTTATCTCAGTCTCCTCTTATTTTCTGGATTTCCAAATTTTGCTATTATAAGTAATAGGATTTTTAAAAGTCTGCATACAAATCTTTGGAGGAATGACTGACATTGATGGTAGGTTAAATCCCTTGAAATGGAACAACTAGATCAAAGATTCTTAAAGTGTATTCAGTCTTGGACTCTGAGGTCAAGCAGTGTGTGTGTTAGTCGCTCAATCATGTCCGACTCCTTGTAACTCCATGGACTGTAGCTCGCCAGGCTCCCCTGTCCATGGAATTCTCTAGGTAAGAATAATACTGGAGTGGGTTGCCATTCCCTTCTCCAGGGACCTTCTCAACCCAGGATTTGAACCCGGGTCTCCTGCATTGCAGGTAGGGTCTTTAGCATCTGAGCCACCTGGGAAGCTGGCTCAAGCAGACACTGATACAAATCTCTGCTGCTTACCCTCCCTATAACACTGGGGAAATTGTGTAATCTCCTGGATCTCTTTATAGTGTCTTAACCTATGAAGCATGAGAATAATATTAACCTCAGAAGAATATTAAATAGATTAAGTGTATATATATTAAATGAAGTATATATTTCAGCTCTCTTTTCAGCTGTGTAAACTTAGGCACGTTAACTAACACGTCTGTACTTCGGATTCCCTGTGGGTAATGAAATAGCCACCCACCTCACAGGACAGCTGTGAGGATTAAGGGAATCTGTGTGCATGTACAGCACACAGGCGCCCTTGACACATTGTCGCACTGTATAAATGTCAGCTACCAGAAGTTTTTAAGGCATCTCGCACAGTGCTTAACATACGGTAAGTTCTTAACAAAGATATAGTTATATTTTTAGGTTGTCAAATATGTGCCAAAAAGACTATGTAAATCATACTCCCACCAGCAAGCAGAATGCAAGATTGTATATTTCACTTTATATCCTAGTTGACACGTTCTACAGTTAAACTGTACATTAAGAAAGAAAACATGTCAGAGTATTATTTTAATTTGGTTTCTTTGATTCCTGGAGACATTAAGCATTTTCATGTTTAGTGATAATATATACTTCTTTTATGACATACCTATCATGTTTCATTATCAGTTTTCCTATTGGAAGATTCACTTTTTTCTCATTGATTTTAAGTATCTCTTTACATATGAAGAATATTGTACTTAAGTTTGCCTTGTGTGTTGCAACACCCCCATTTCTTATTCTTCTTTTATTTTGATTTACATTTTTATGTGCAGCTTTTAAAGGATATTTTCTATAGTTGATATAATATCTTAAAATTTTTTTTGTTAGTTTTCTAAGGGTAATTTGGGAAAAGATGTCCATATTTTTCTTTCAGGGTATATTAATATTTTATTAGATATACCATATTGATTTTATATATATATATATATATATATATATAATGCATATCTTCTGAATTACAATTCTGAATTTGAGGTAATATCAAATCAGAAACAGGTCAGAGAATCCTCTCAAATTACACAAGATTCTGAAAGGTAATCCTACCCCCCAGATTGAAAACCAGTACAATAAACTGCTGAATGTTACTGTAGGGCATTTCAAGCATGTCAGTGGTATATAGAGAAAGGAAAATTAGAGAACCTCTGACCAATTGTTATTTATTTTTATATATCCAATCTGTGAAAAACTAAGGAAAGAAATCTCAATTATTGCAGTTTTGTCAGTTTCTTCAATTTGTCAGTTGTGTTACTTTGGAAGCTTGCTTTTTGTTTGTATTTTTCTTATTACATTTATGTTTGCCACTTTTAAAGTTACATTGTTTGAAGTATATCTGTGTAAGAAGAATCTAGTTTGATTTAGCTTTATAGTCAACTTAAAACTCTCTGTATTTTAGTAGGGGAGTGTAATTCATATTTATTTTTGTAGTTTATACAATTGCTCTTGTTTCTCCTATCCTATTTTATGGGGTAAAATAACTTCAATATTTTTAATTAATTTACTTTTTTTGCTATTCCTTTATTTCTCTTCTTGCTTGTGCTGGACTATGAATTCTATAACTTTTTTTCCTCTCATTGAGTCTGTTACTTACAAAGAAGTGAACAGATAAGGACATATGTAAGAGGTAATCTTAAAGGTTATGGAGAACTCTGGTGCTGCAAGATGGACTTTTATTGGGAAGAATCAGTCTATTAAGGGAGAGGAGTATGAATTGAGGGGCACCAAAGCCAGGCTGAATTAGTACCAATGTCAGATTTCACAGCAAAAGAAAAAAAAAGCAACAACTAGAGTGAGAAAGAAGGGATGAGAAAGTAGATAGCCAGAAATAATGGATTTGGTGAAGCTATTAGGAGTGTAGAGATTGGTTGATGGCAGCTGTTTTGTCAATTGATTAAGAGAACAAGGACCAAGAGAGGGCAAAACAAAGCAGATCATGAGTAGCTTTGTTATTGGCCTTGAAAGTAATCCCCCTTTATCATTT